GGGGTTAAACATTTAGGTATTTTCAGGATTTTGGTCATTATGATAGCTGAAGTTAACCGCTTCCGTTTCTTGTAGAAATTATGAGGAAAAATGTTAATTTTGAGTTTCTAAATGAAGGTGACTTGTAGAATTGACCCTACATTGCTTAAAGGGATAGGTTTTTAGTATACGTTTTAGATTGATTGACTTCTTTTCTCAAATTGTTGAACATGCTGGTGAGAGTTGGAAATTTTAGACATTGTTTAACTAGCATTCCAAAAACTCTTTTCTTCTTTCTTAGGAAACGGTAGGGAAAGAAATGTTCATCATTTTGTATTGCAACTAGCTTTTGCTTTCTGCTGGTGGTTGGTGGTGTTGTTATCAGTGGCATGGAGATGTTTTTAAGTCTCTAGAACAATGTTTGGTATAAGTTCAATTGAAGTTTTTGAAAGGAAAAAGCTGCCTAGGGAAGTAAGAGATAATTGTTAACTTATGCTTTGTATGTTGAAAGCTTAGTCTCAGGAGGAGCTGTTCTTATATATTTCTTACTATTATCTTTGGATATATAGTTGTTCTGTGTTTATTAGTGAACAAAATACTAGTGTTTCCGATACTTAGCAAGAATAACATTTCTGGTTTCTCATGGTATAAGACAAAAGAGGCTTCCCAATGTTATGCATCACTAAGTGGTCATCCTGTTGTCTTGTATTACAAGCTGTCAACAAGGATGATGTTACTGATTTTCAAGAGTCAAGGTGCATTTTTATGTGAATAGAAATAGAAATTGTACTAAAAATGAATGCCAGTATCTCTGAATTGTTCCTATTCATCAAGCTCTATGGTCTGGCTGATTATTTCGGTCAATCGGAGTATTTGGTCTCAAGTTTCAAGTTTTAATCTGTAGTCTCACTTACCAGTTTTAACTAGTGTTGAGTTTTAGCTTTAGTTGACGTTTGGAGTGGGAATGTCTAAATCTTGGTTCAAATCTTATAAAAAGGAAAAAAAAAAAAAGAGAGCAATTTGATACTTCTGAAATTACATGAATCCAAGGTTCAAATCTGATCCAAATTCAATGTTGAAGGCAACCCAAAATTTTATTGATGAGTATGAACTACCGGATGGGCATATAGCTGTTTAAGGGGCATGGTTCTATTCTTTTGCATTATTAATCAATACATGCATGAGAAAGGTAGCATCACTGTTTTATAGTTTAGGTTTACTGAGTTTACTCACAGTTTTGACCTATATTGGTTATTCAAATGAGAAAAGAGATCTGAATTTGATGTGATATTGGAAAATTGCAGATTCAATAAAATATGGCAGTGAAACCAACAGTAGCTTTGAGGGCTGTACTTGTAGGAGGGATAGCTGTATTTGCAAAAGTAGCTGGTGCAATGAAGGCTGCTGGTGGTGCCAAGCTGGGTGCAGCGGCTTCTGCCATGACAGTGGCAGCATCTGCTGCTATGTCTGGATCAAAACAGAACCCAAAAGATGAATCCAAGCAAACGTAAAAATGATCATCCCTTTTTCCTTCGTTTAGCAGCTTCTAGACATTTGTAATGTATGTAGCATAGTTGGCTGCTCCCGTGAGCTTGTTGGGAGCAAATGGCTATGCGTGAAATGTAATTTTGGTCATCACACAGCTTTTAAATCGCGTGAAATAAGAGAAACCTACACCATTGGTATGAATTAAGCTTCTTATTGCCATTTGATGCAGAAAGAAAATACTTGTAAATTATTTTGTTGAAAAGTTGGGCAACGTAAAGATGACTTATACTGGTAGTCTTGAGATCAAAAATCAGATATGGGAAGGAGATTTTGCATCTTTCAGATCATCAGCTTCACTTAACTAGCGAAGCCAGATGAGAACTGGCGGCCTTCCCTGGCCAGCTGAAGATGGTATATTGCCATTCAAGTTCAAATGTGATTGATTTTTATACAATTTTAACCAAAAGCATAATTTTGGTAACAATAGAACTGTTTCTCTCAAGTCCTATATAAACAATACAGTGCTATGTTATTTTTTTCTACAGCTTTTGCCCACCTCCATCCGCCCAAAGGC